GGGGAGGGGGGAGAGATGCCGCGCCCGTCCCTGTATCACACAGCATCTCCCACAGCGCTCAGCCGCTCTCAGGCACTCCCGGGACGCCTGGCCACCACGCACTGCTTCTGCCTGCGTCCCGACCGTGCCCAAGTCCCTCCTTCCTCTGCACCTCGGCTTTCCCCCCCAACACATCCCCCTATCCCTGCCCCGAGCGGGAGGGCAGCATCCCGCAGACACCTCGGGGGGGCTCCCAAGGCTGCCCGGGGGAGGGGGCACGGGGCTGGCGCAAGGCCCCGCAGGACTGCCCGGAGCCGGGCACCGCGCCGGGCTAGCGGGCGAGCGGGCGGCGGAGCCGGGCGATGCAGTCTAGGTGGTGCTATTTCTCTATTTTTGCACTGGAGGGGTTTGGGATTTTCCTCTCCCTATTCGCTGCCTTGGTCGTCTTCTTCTCCTCTCTCTCTCTTTTTTTTTCTTTTCCTTTTCTAAAAATACTTGACAGCGATTGAAAGGTCCCTTTAATCGAGGCCACAGAGCCCTTATTAAGGGCACGGGTCGGGGTGCTGGGCCGTGCCCGGCATAACGGCTTCATTAAACCCTGCGAAAACTAATATTTATGGAATCAAATTTATGGAGGCCGAGGCCGAACTTGTGGCCTTTAATGTGTGTCGGGAGCTCAAATCCAGCCGGCTCCAGGGAGGAGGGGGTGGGGACAGGGAAGGAGACCCCAGCGGGACAGGATGGGACAATGAGTGGTGACACCCCCTGGAGCCGGCAGCAACCTGGGCCAGGGAGGCACCGGTGGCCCCATGCTGGAGTCTTGGGGGCTGGGGTCCCTGAGGTGGCCTGGGGGGCATCGGCAGAGCTCTTTTTCCCACTGATATCTTCACTTTCCTGCTTTTATCTACCCCCCCGTCCATGCTTCTGCAGCCCCACCTTCCCTTGCCTTGGGAGCAGGGTGAGTGGAGCAGGATCTGTCCGTACAGCAGGTCTTTACCCCTAGCCCATGTCTGCCAGGATGCTCGTCCTTCCCTTGGACACAGAGCCACAGGGCTCCTCGGGGGGACTTACTCTGCAGCAGGACAGGGCTCTTGAGCAATGCCCCTGCAGCATCCCTGGGACTGGCTTCCCTGAGTTGAGCACCCCAGGGAGAAGCAGAGACGCAGCCTGGGTGCAGCTGGCAGCCGGGATGACCTGGGGATGCAGGTGCTGGTTTGCACCACCCGCTCCCCTAGAGAACCCACCAGACACTGGCACAGCGGGATGGGAATGTGCCCAGCCCCATGTGATGTCCCCTCAGCCCCAAAGGGGACCGACAAGCCAAATGCCCTCGCTGGGGTGATAAACCCTCCTCCTGCACGTCCCGGCTTGCACAGGGGAGCAGCATGAACCCCAGACCCAGCAGGGAGCTGGGGGACCTGGCTTGGAACAGAGCAGATCCCAGGCCTGGAGATGAAGCCCACATGGGTGGAGCAGAGGTTGCACCAGGGGACAACCTGGTGACAGAAGACACATGAAACATAAAGCTGCTAAACTGCTGCCCTGCTCCTACCCAGCCGGTAGCAGGAGCCTCCCTGGGGGCAAGTGCCCGGCAGGCAGACCCAAAGCTGCCAGGGTAAGAAGCTGGCAGATGGGGGAAGGCAGGATACGTAGCTACGGCTGTCGGCACAAGCTCCTCATCCCATGGCTTTCCCTTCTCACCACCCACCCTGCCCCGCACGCTGCTCCCTTGGAGAGGAAATATAAAAAGCAACCGGCTGCTCTCACGCTGGGACTGGCCGGCCATGGCCCAGCAAAGGCCCTTTCATTCCCCTTCCACAGACACAGGGGCTGCTCCGGATGTTTTTGTTTCCCCCTTTGCTGCCTGGGAGAGCAGGCAGTGTGACTGCGGCCAGCCCAGCCCCGGGGAGCAGGGCAGCTGGGGGCACGGGTCCCTGCCCCAGGAGAGCAGCACCACAGGCTGCAGCCTGCCTGCAGCAGTGCTGCCTGGCTCTCTGCCTGCTATTTTAGGACCCGGCTTGGGCACAGGAGTGGGGTCTCAGCCCCAAAGGAAGCATGTAAAGACAAGGGTTGGGAGAGGAGAGCAGGGATTAAAGGATGGATGGATGGATGGACAGACGGGTAGGGTGTGGAGGGGCAGAGACTACCTCTGCCCAGGGGATACCTATGTCCTGCCACAGGACTACCTATGTCCAGGGAGCATCTGTAACCTGCTCCAGGGTTGCTCCCAGGCAACCTGCTCAGTGGCTTGGTTGTCCCCTGCGCCTTGGAGGCCAGAGGATGGATTAACCCCATGTCACCTGCCCACTAACCCTGGGGGAGCTGCCTGCATATGGAGGGTGGCCCTCGGCACAGCCAGGCTGCCTTTGCCAACCCGCTGCTACAATGGCTCCTCCTGGCTCCAGGCACCACCACATGGTGTGTCCCTGGCATGGGACAAGGAGAATGTGGGCTCCAGGCCCTCCAGCACCTTGTGCCCTCAGGATCTGGGGGTCCCCTCATGCACACCCCACCCCACATGCTGCTGCTCAGGGTGAGGCACAGCACTGGCTGGGAGCTGCCGTCCTGCCCCACAGCAATGATCTACTGTCACCTCCTCACTGTCCAGAGCCACTGCAAGACCCTAGGGCAGCGGGACTGGCCTGAGGGGGACCCAGCAGCACTGGGGGCTGCACCCCTGCCTGGACACGGCAGGCCCAGGGGGGACAGAGCAGGAGGAGAGGGATCTCACCCAGACACAGCCCTTTATTGCAAACCCACATGAGAGCAGCCAAACCCCACAGCCCTGCTGGAGTCCCTGCTGCCCCACACCCACCTGGCAGCATCCCTCCCACTCCCCCCGGTCCAGTGCCGGCTCCATCATGGGGCAGCCTGGGCAAGCTCCACACCAGGGAAGAGGCAGAAAAGAAGTTCCTGAGACAGTGTTGAAGAGAGGAGATGCCCCGTCACCCTGGCTGGAGACACCTTGGGAGGGGACCATGCCCCAGGCCAGGGTCTGCCGGGAGATGCAGGCAAGGAGGTGGAGGATGCACGGGTGCTCTGCACTGCCTCTCTCGGATGCTGGGGGGAGCAGAGGCCCTCATGGTGGGTGGCAGCAACCTTTCAGCTGAAAAGCCCCTTCGCCTTCTTCGGTTTGGCCTTGGCTGCAGGCAGCCGGGGCTTCTGAGCTGGGGAAGAGGATGGCTGGAATCAAAGCGGAGGCAGCGTCAGTCCTCCCCGGGGGGTTCACGCAGGATGGGTGCGTGTGTGCAAGCGGTGACACCCCCCCACCCCCGTGGTTGTGTGCAAACCACACACACGTGTGCAATGGACCTACATGATACCCAGCCAGGATGCATGGGGTAGGATGGGCTAGGAACTGAGCTGAGACCCCCAGCCCATCCCGGAGCGGTACAGGGTTGGGATGCGAGGAGGGAAGGGAGGTGCAGGCCCCATCCTGCCACTGGTACAGAGAAGCTGTTTCTAAAGCTGCGCTCACCATGGTTCCCTCGCTGGAAGATGCTGTTTCATCCTCCTGGGATGGAGGCAGCGGATGGGGGTGCCCTGCAGTTTCTGCAGCGGGCGCTGGGCCCTCGGAGTCCTCTGGTACCGGCAGAAAGAGATGCAATTTGGGATTGAGATGAGGGAGCGCAGGGCATTGCCCAAACCCACACTAGGAATGGCACCTGGGTGGGGGAGCTCAGCCCATGGGGGGAAAGCAAAAGGGGAGACTGTTGCATGGGGTGAGCTGCACCCAGGGCCCCACTCCCCTTCCTCTGAGATGGGGGCTCAGCTGTGGGGAGGCTGGGTGCTTCAGCCTCTCCCCATCCCACGGCCACGGAGCTCCTCACCTGAGTGCTGCCGTTTCCGAGCCTGCTTAGCCTCCTGCTGCGTCACCGCCGCGTAGAGCTGCCGCAGAGCGGAGGCGAACGCCTGCCCCTCTCCCGCACTGCAGATCTGGGGCAGGCTCTGTGGGAGAGAGCAGAGGCACTGTCACCCTGCCAGGAAATCACCTGCCAGGAGCCGGTTCCTGCCAGGACACCCTGCCACGGTGCTGCAGTGGGGCAGAGAAGGGGCTGTGCATCCGTCTGCCCATCGGCCTCCATCTGCTTCACCCCAGGGACTGCGTCATGGCTTGCAGGGCCAGCCAGCTCTGGCACTGGGCAGGACGTGGCTGCTCCCCAGCCGTGCACACACACACACACGCATGTGCACACACCCGCACACCTGCTGCGGCCATTGGGCTGCCTTCCCATTCAGAGGCAGACTGTGGGAGGCTTGCAAGTCATTCATGAAACGGTGGAGATAAGATCGCACAGGGAGGGAAGGGCTGCGACTTCCCCAGCGGGAGCACCGCAGGGGCCGTGGCTGGCCGATGAGGGCAGCGAGCCTTGCACAGGGGCAGGACCTTGGCACGAGGTGGGGACAGGGAACCTCTGCCTGCCACGGCTGCCTCCAGCGATGTCTATGCAGGCAGCACAAGCTATCCCCGGTGGCCCCATGGCAAGTGAGGGCGATGCGGTGGTGAGACGAGGGATGCCCGTTTGCTGCCAGGCTGCCAGAGGAGCTCCTGGCTCCCTGGACACATTTTTGTCTCCATCCAGGCTTGATTCAAGGCAGCCCCCCCTCTTCCTGCCCGAAACCCCTGCCAGGGCTGCGGGATGCCACCCTCACCCTCTGGGCCATGCCAACGTGCATGGGGGACCTTGGCTCTCATGACAGGGAGGCTGGCAGGCTGGGCAAGCGCCATGCTCCACTGGGAACCTAACAGAGCACACGGCCAGAAAACAAACACACGCAGGGATGGGGAAATGCGTGTGTGCCCTAGAGAGGGCAGCTGTGTGGGGGTGCATGGGGCGCGGTATGGGTGCGTGTGTGCAGGTGACTGTGAGTATGCGTGTGTGCATGGGGGGCTGTGTGCACAGCCATGTGTAGATGAGCATGGCTCTGGGTGCGTGTGTGGCTGGTTGTGTGTCAGTGTATGTGTGTGTGTGTGTATGTCAAAGGTCTGCGCACTAATCTCTGCTCCGCTCCACACTGAGGCAGCAGGAGAACAAAGTGTAACAGATAAGGCCAGATCCTCTCTGGACCAGGGGAGCGGGGAGGGCATGGGGACGCTCAGACCCACTCAAGGCCAGAGTCCAAAGCCTGGCCCTGGCTTCCCAGTGGCAGAAAGGGCAGGCTTGAGCCCCCCTCGCTGCTCCGTGCCGGACGGGGATGGAGGGCAGGGCTGATGCCAGGATGGGTTGGCTGGTGCCCAGAAAGGCGCCTTCCCCACAGGTCTCATCCCTCCTGCTGGAGCTGTGGGCATGAAAGGCCCCTTAGCCGTAGGACACGCATGCCACCGGGGTCTGCTTTTTTGCCAGCTTCTGTGCAGGAGCTCCTGTGTCCCTGCCCACTGCCACAGGAGGGAGCGATGCTCTGGTCCCAGCGCCCTGCCAGCATCCCCGGGATTGCTTGCCACTGGGCAAACACACCTCCCAATGTCTCCTTGCCCGGCCTCTGAGCCCTGAGCTATGCTGGCCCATCACAAGGTCCCAGGGAGGAGGAGGGATGCTGAGCACCTCAGATACCCTGCGGATGCTCTTGCCCTGGATGTTTCAGCCCCACGGGGCCAGGGTTGCACCCAAGGTTGCAAAAGCAGCGTCCGAGGCCAGGAAGGCAATTGCACTTCAAAGGCAGGAGAGGGGCTGGCAACGGGTGGCCGACACAGCCCAGATCAAAGGCACAAGCTGGAGTCATAATTCAGAGAAAAGCAAACAGCAGCTCCCAGGAAAGCCGGGAACAGTGGTGGAGTGAGCAAAGTGTACTAGATAGCACTGTGCGGGTCAATGCCCCGGGAGGGCAGGAGAGTCCCCTGCAGAGCCACCCGGCCCTGGGTGCCACTACCCTGCTGCCTACCCCCTCTACCCACTACCGAGGGGTCCCCAGGGAGCGCCAAGGCAGTGGGGCACGCTGTGCACCCAGGAGTAGGGTGCTGCCCACCCCCCTCGGCTCCAACCCAGCTGGGACGCGGGCTGTGGCGCAAGATGGCACCTGGGACACTTCCAGAGCCCCAGGGCTGCCCAGGCTGCTCCTCTTCCCAGCATCCAAGTGAGGATCCAGGCAGGGCAGCTGCTTTCTCAGTGCTCAGCCCCAGGTGCCCAGAGCCAGCACAGCATCCCCATGGTATCCCTGGGGACGGGACAATGCTGTGGAGTGGCCACCACGCTTGTAACCATCCGGTGTCCCCGAGACCTGCACACACGCACCTGCTGGGGTGGCACCCTGGGGAGGCGCTGGGAGAAGGGTGCCCAGTACTGCCAGCCCCCAGGGAGTGATGGACATCTGGGGTGGCACAGGGGTCTGCAGGTACAGGGCACCCACTGCCCATGCCTCTGGGAAGGGCCCAGCTCCAGCAAGCCTGGGGTGGAATTTGGGAGTCACCGGCCACCTCCTGCTGCTGCCTTTCCTGGCAGCTTGAGCCCGTGGGCTCGGAGCCATTGGGCTGCTGGAGCTGGACTGTGCTGGGACGGGAGGGCCGCGCTTCACAGCCCCGGAGGGAAATGGGTTTATAACCAGAGCTGGAAGTGTTTCCCTTGCAGAGTCGTGACTCAGCAGGGAGCGGAGCGTGCTGTGCCAGCCACCGGCCACCTGATGGCCCCGGAGGCTGAGAGGGACAAGGAGGTGTCCCCAGAAGGGGCTGGGTGGGTGACAAGCCCTGGGTACCAGTGACTTTCCCTTCCCTCCTTGCCCCACTGCCCCAGCACATCCCCAAGCTGAACCCCGCCGCAGGCAACTTGTTGTCCCCACTGCGACGTCAGCCCTGGCCTCCGGTGACTTGTTTTTCTCTGATTACCCATCTCTGGGATAAACATGATGCCAGAGGTCCAGGGAGCGGCACGAGCAGAGAGCTGGCACCCGGGGGAGTGCCAGCCGGGTTGCCCCATGCTGCTCGCCGGGCACTGGGGAGCGATGCCCAGGGAGCTGGCACAGCTTGCCCCGCGTGTTATGACTACCTGGCCACAAGGCCAAGAGGGATGCCCCGGTATCAGAAGTGACTCAAGGCTGCAGCAGCAGCACGGGACGCTCCGCAGCACACCCTGAACCGTGATTAGCCCAGCCAGGGGGGCTGCCCAGCGAAGGGGGCAGGCACCTGACCTCGCATCGGGAGCAAGCCGTGCTCGCCGGCGGCCCCACAGCGGTGGGGGCAGCTCATGGGGAGTTGGACTGCAGCCTCACTCGGTGTCCCCCCATCCCAGAGGGCTCTGCTATGGGGCAGTACCCCAGCGTGGGGGGGTGGCAGGGCCAGTGGTGGGCGGGGTACAGCATCCATCTCCCAGGCATCCTGCCTTCACCCACCCCTGCCCAGACTCCTTTCTCAAGAGGCCATAAGAGACGACGATTTGGATGTCCTCTTGACAGCGTGAGCAGGAGGGGCATGTCACCCAGCCCGGCACCGTGCCACTGATGCAGAAGTATCACCTTCCCCTGGCCCGGGCCCGGGAAGGGTTTTGCAGGCAGGCTGGACCGTACTGGGCCCCCACGCTGGTGCCAAGCACCAGAGTCTAAATCGGTCGTGCTCAAAGCCGGGGACTGACCCTTTCATTATCACACCAGACGTTCGAAGTGGTTACCAACATTCTTCGCTACAAACCCCACATTCCTATTTTTTAATATATTTTTAACTGGAAAACAGAGCGAACGGGGCCTGTTTGGAAATTACAGCCTGGCTGCTGTGGCTTGTATGTCAGATCTGCCCACATTCCCGTGGCCAGCCTCAGCACATGCTCCACAGGGGCACACTTAATAATTCCTGCCGGGGCCGGGAGCCAAGGGGTGTGGGCCAGGGGGGGCATGGCTTCCCTGGGCTCTCCTTGCCAGCAGGCTCTGCGGAAGCGGCGTGGTGGAGCAGCGGCCCAGGAACGGCACACCAGCTCTCCGGCGATGGGCACGGCTGCTGCCATGCTGGCACGGGCGAAGCCTGGTGATGCTGAGGAAGGCGGGGGGAGCTCCATGGCCTCGTGGCCAGGCCGCCCTCAGCACTCTCCCCTGCCGCAAGCTTTGTGCGTGCTCCTGGGAACGGGTCTGGCATGGCTCACTGGATGCACGCAGGGCATCTCCGCCCATGGTTGTGCCAGCGTCAGTGAGGCTGGGCAGGGATCCACCCTGGGATCCAGGTAGATGAGCACCACCCTGTGCTAGCCGCTCACGCAGCCTCTGCCAACAGTGCTGGACCAAGGGATCTCACCAGGATCTGCCTGCGGGAGAACAGAGGTGAAGGGGGTTGAACTGCTCCCTCCTGGCTGGAGTCAAGGGCATGCAAAGGGGCAGATCATCCCCCTGGGATGGAGCGGGACACAGCAGCCTGGCCTCCCGCCCCAGCTCCCTGGTGGGGCAGTGACCCTCTCCTTCGGGGCAGAGCTGCCCCAAAGCACCCCAAGCTGCCCCAAAGCACCCTGAGCTGCCCCACACTGAACGGCGGTGCCCTTTCCCAGCTCCTCCAGCCCTTGGAACTGCTCGCACACGCTCACCCCAGCTTGCAACAGTCCCTGGGGCGCTGCGTACCGCAGTGGCGGACAGCTAAGGGACCTGCCTTGAGCTTGCGCTGTCCCCATCACCCCCTACCACACATGTCCCTGGGGACGTGCAGCAGCAGCAGCTAGGAGAGCTGGTGGTGCTGCCAGCCCGCCCGTGGAGCAGGCAGGGTCAGGATGGCCAGGGCTTCCCAGGCAGGGAGCCAGGCTGAGCACACCTGGCAGGAAGCGGCGGTGCCGGCAGGGGAAGGCAGCCGGAGAGCTGCTGAGAGGTGAAGGGGTCACCCCGGGGAAGAGCGGGCGGGGAGGCCGGGACGGCCGAGCATCCCAGCCTGACCCAGCCCAGCCCGGCATGGCCCGGCACTCCTCCCAGTGCTGCTCCGGCCCTGCTGCGGGCAATGTTTTCCTTTCCCCCTGACTTTCGGGGCCTTTCCAGCAAGCAAATGTCAGGCG